GCATCGCAGCACCAGGCGCGGGATCTCTGTATAAACAGCCCCTGTGCGCCACCACAGAGACAATGGGGTGGGGAATAGGATGGGAGGCCTTTCCCCTCTAGGGGGCGCTGGTGTGTGGAGGGGTGATTGCCTGCTTATGGGGCCCCTACTGTGTTCCACAATGTGTCTTGTCTTTTATTTTGCTTTTTATACACTCAGTTACGCTGAAGCGTTAAGTATTTATTGTAATTTTGGGCTCTTTTAAGGAGCATTCATGACAGCACTCTGGGCTCTGTTCCAGCTTGGAGACAGGATCGGGAAGAGGGAAGAGCCAGAGAGCCTGGGGGCCGAGAGTAATGGGTCCTGTAGGGGGAGAGGGATTGTAGGCAGAGAGCTTTCTGGTCTGAAAGAGGCCAGCGATAAAGCTGACGAGACAGAAGAGCTCAGGGAATGAGACACAGGGCCTTGCCCCTCTAAGGGGCGCCAGCTCTGATCCATCCCAAGCACTGGCTGGCTCAAACTGTGGGCAGTGGGCCAGTGGCCTTTCCCTTCTAGGAGGGGCTGGTCCCAGCTTACTTGCTGGGGGAGCAGGCAGGGCCCGGGTGGGTTTTCTTGCTGAGCTAGGATTGTATCAGGGTCACATTTTTTTCTTTTACTGTATAAGCCCAAAATGCTTCTTCACTCTCACTGCTGTCAGGTGCCCAGCGGGCATTGGCATGCATGGGTCATTTCTACCCAGCGTGCGCTCACTGCTGTATCCATGGGTATTACAGAATAAAAGCCACGTTTAAATAAAACTGTGTGTGTAAGAGAGAGAGCAGAGTGCTGCCTCCTGCTGGAGGGAATCGGGGCCCTCTGTGTGTGTATCCTGTGCATAGGATCATTGTGTGGGTGTATCGGTGTTCGGGGGCGGGGAGTGTCAGAGATTCTTTCTCCCAGTCACATTCCCCTTATTACTTGTTTCAGCTTCTTAGTCTTCCATGGAGCCACACGGGAAAATGTTCCACACCAGGTGTCAGGGTTCCTTCCCCACTCTTGAACTCTGGGGTCCAGATGTGGGGACCCGCATGAAAGACCCCCTAAGCCTATTTTTACCAGCTTAGGTTAAAAACTTCCCCAAGGCACAAATTCCACCTTGTCCTTGAACAGTATGCTGCCACCACCAAGTGATTTAGACAAAGAATCAGTGAAAAATACAGTAAGCAGTATATATATCACAGCACATGAAAAGATGGGAGTTGCCTTACCAAGTGGGGGGGGGGGGTCAGTGCTAACGAGGCCAATACAATTAAGATGGAAGTGGCCTATTCTCAACAGTTGACAAGAAGGGGTGAATATCAAAGGACGAAAATTACTTTTGTAGTGCTAACGAGGCCAATGCAATCAAGGTGGACGTTGCCCATATCCAATAGTTGATAAGAAGGTGTGAGTATCAGCAGAAGGGAAAATTACTTTTTGTAGTGACCCATCCACTCCCACCATCATAGACCTAACCACATCAGCCACACCCTCAGGGGCTCGTTCACCTGCACATGTACCAATGTCATATATGCCATCATGTGCCAGCAATGCCCCCTCTGCCATGTACATTGGCCAAACCGGACAGTCTCTACGCAAAAGAATAAATGGACACAAATCAGACCTCAAGAACTGTAACATTCAAAAACCAATAGGAGAGCACTTCAATCTCCCTGGATACTCAATAACTGCTGAGTTAAAAGTGGAAATTCTTCAACAAAAAAACTTCAAAAACAGATTCCAACGAGAAACTGCAGAACTGGAATTAATTTGCAAACTGGACACCATCAAATTAGGCCTGAATAAAGACCATCTTTTCATGTGCTGTAATATTTATATTGCTTACTATATTTTTCACTCCATGCATTTGATGAAGTGAGTTTTAACCCACAAAAGATGCCCTAAGATTGGCCCCCTTCCAACACCAGGAGAAAGGGGAAGGGCCGAAGAGGAGCCAGGATCCGGAGACTGACAGTCCCCAGGGTCAATGGGGAGCAGCCAGCCCCCAAATCAGCCGGATTGACAGGGCAGGCAGGCCAACGAGGGAGTCAACAGCATAGTTTAGGGGGGGAAAACCCTCTCACTCCTGTCTGGGGCTGGGGGCTGCTGGAAGTTAGCATTGTGGTGTGTTGTCTGTGGCCTCTAGTCTAGTGGCTGTGCTAACCAGGTGGCGTGTCTCTTGTCTAGAGAGCAGATATTCAAAATGACTTGACAAATTGGAGGATTGGTCTGAAATCAACAAGATGAAATTCAGTAAAGACAAGTGCAAAGGCCGATACTTGTGAAGGAAAAAACCCAAATGCACAGCTCCACGAGGGGGAATAACTGGCTAGGCGGTAGGACTGCTGACAAGAATCGGAGAGTTATCGTGGTTTGGAAATTGAATATGAGCCAACAGTGTGATGCAGCTGCGAAAAAGGCTCATATCATTCCGGGGAGCATTAACAGGAGTGTCGTATGCAAGATACGGGAAGTAATTAGTCCTGCTGTACTCAGCACTGGCGAGACCTAAGCTGGAGAACGGTGTCCAGTTCTGGGCACCACAGAAAGATGTGAATAAACTGAAGAGAGTCCAGAGAAGAGCAACAAAAATGATATAAGGTTTAGAAAACCTGACCTATGAAGGAATGTTAAAGAAACGGGGCATGGTTAGTCTTGAGAGAAGACGACTGAGGGGCGGCCTGATAACAATCTTCCAAAATGTTAGGGGTTGTTATAACGAAGATGAAGATCAATTGTTCTTCATGTTCACCGAAGGTAGGACAAGAAGCAATGGGCTTAATCTGCAGCAAGGGAGCTTTAGGTTAGATATTAGGGAAAACTTTCTAACTCTAAGGTTGGTTAAGCTCAGGTTACCTAGGGAGGTTGTGGAATTCCCCAGTACTAGAGGTTTTTAAGAACAGGTTGGACAAACACTTGTGAGGGAGGGTCTAGGTTTCCTTGGTCCTGCCTCAGTGCAGAGGGGGTGGACTATGACCACTCAAGGTCCCTACAGGTCCATGATTCTATAATAATTAACATGATGTTAAACACAACTTTGCAGCATGATAATAATTCCTAGCTCTTACCATCTGTAGATCTCAAAGAGCTTTGCAAAGGAGGTCAGTATCATTATCCCCATTTTACAGGTGGGGAAACGGAGGCACAGACAGGTGAAGTGACTAGTCCAGCAAAGCTGGGAACAGAACCCAGGAGTCCCGTATCCTAGGTCAGGGCTCTACTCACTAGACAATGCTGCACCCTCCCAGTGTAACTGTAAAGGCCAAAATCTCCAAAAGCTAAGTGTTCAAACAAACATAATGCTAGGGAGCTTCAAAGCCCATGGGAAGGAATCCAGCCTCTATTTTATTGTCGGAAAGGAGTCTAGACATGAATAGACTAAAATCTTCTCCAGAACCAGACTCACCCACAGAGGCCTCTGCTGGGCTTTTCCGTTCATTGATTTTAGTCGCAAGCCTCTGAGGGCTAAATGGTCTGTACTGGTTTGAAGATGGGCAGATGTTCTGGTTGTCTGTCAAGGAGCGGGCGTTCTCTCCCTTCCCCGCTGCACAGATCTTTGACTTCCAAGTTTTCCTCAAAGCATTCAGTCTGCTGGGACAGTTTGAAAATCGGCGTGTTGCCTTGTCACGGTATTGAGTTCGGCCCTGCACTCACCCCACGGGAGAGGTTAATTCCTAAAACTCCAGTGCTGGCAAACTCGGGAAGGTGGCAGAGCCAGCCAGACACACCTCACGGTAACTGGGCCCCAGGCTCTGAGCAAGGTAACACAGGGAGTGTATGGTGGGGAAAGGCAGAGAACCCAGGAGTCGTGACTCCCAGCTCCCCCTCAATTCTGCCATACGAATTATGCAGCTTTCCTAGGGTGGTTGTTTGTTTTTTGGGGGTTTTTTTGGTGGGGGGTGTGACGGGTTGGATCACAGAAACCCCCTTGGGAGCTGCCACCCGA